AAGGAAACACTATATCATGAGCATTTTTTTATGCCATGAAACATGCTTCAAAAATTCTTGAGAAAATTTCTGCTTACCATATTTTTGCTGTTGCAACCAACACTAGTGTGAACATCTTTGTGCATATATTTTTAAAGTACCTTATTATGGACCAGGAGTGGTGACTCACACCTGTAATCCCAGCACTCTGGGAGGATTGCTTGAGCTCAGGAGTTCGAGACCAGCCTGAGCAAGAGTGAGATCCCGTCTCTACTAAAAATAGAAAAGCTAGCTCTGCATCGTGGCAGGCACCTGTAGTCCCATCTACTCAGGAGGCTGAGACAGAGGGTCCCTTGAACCCAAGAATTTGAGGTTACTGTAAGCTATGTTGATGCCATGGCACTCTACCGAGTGTGATAGAGTGAGACTCTGTCTCAAAAATAAAAAAATAAAGTACCTTATGGTTTTATTATCATTGTCATATGCTACATTGTCTTATGCTGTTTAAGGAAATTATAAGGAAGTCCCCTTACCCCTTGGACTTTGGGGATCCTCCTGGATGTCCTACAGTTAGTCTAATTTGGGTTTGATACTTTGCCATAGGTAATCACCAACCCAATTTTAACTTTTCTATTGTCACTTTTCTCTATCCCTGTTGTCCTAATGACTGTGAAACTCCTAAACAGATCCCAGGCTAGATTAAAAGAACCTAGGTGGGTGCAGGCACTGTGAGCTGAAAGCTAGTCATGTAGGCATAGGATTCAGAGCTCTCAATCACTGTACTCACTCCTACCTGTCCTTCTGGCAGGGAACCAGGGCAGCGAGGGTCCTCTGAAGCACATTCATTTCCAAGTCCAGAAATGTACTGCATATAACAAAGACACAAATGTCACCATTAATTGGATTTAAAGAGCATTTTGTAATACTGACATTCTACAAAAGTAAAAATGTTTGTATGGACATAAGTTTGTGGATAATGTTCCATACATAATATCTTTGCTGTATCTTGACATGTGAACCATTTAGGAAAGACAATATACTTTATGTGAATTTTAAAGACTTCCAATTAATCAGAAGAGAACTGGACATTGCATAGACTTCTCATCCTTAGCAGTGCGTGACTGATTTGTGGGCTTGTTTTCAATCATTCCTTCCCAAGAACAGGTTCTTTAATTCTGGTTCCATCTGAGATTCCTGACAGGGAGCTCAGGCATTACCTCAACTCCAGATTATCTTTCTGGGGGGCCTAGTTTGCAACCTCCCTGAGCTTGAGGCTCCATTTCCCTTGCCTACTCTGAGGAGTTGGGGAAAGCAACTGGGAAGGGGTATATGGATTCATCCTGACAGCAAAACCCTTGAAAGAAAGTTCTCCAAACTGTCCCTGCTATAGGCAAAGCCTAAATTGCCTGGCTCCTCTATGGAGCATATGTGTGTTTATTGATTGATTGGTTGATTTATATGTATGTGAATATATGAAAATGAAACTTGAAGATATGGGTGACTTCCAGAAGTGCCAGCCCAGAATCTTTTCTCAACAGCACAGTGGAGCCTACTTTGCCATCTCTTAACTTTATATCCAGAGGAAAAAAGTTAATGGGCTCTTCAACAAGGGAATCACAGGGAACCACTAGAATATCTCCTTGTATACTTAACACACCAATGAATTTTTGTTCACTGTCTGGCTTCCTTGCTAGCTTACAGACTCCATGATGGCTGAGACTATGGCAATCTTGGCCCATAGAAGGCACTCAATAGATAATCTGCTGAATTTTTTAGTTTTTCACTTAAATAAAGTTCTAACATGATGCGTAAGTGGGGGGGGTGGCACCCCCTTTGCTCTAACTTAAATACCAATTGATTTTAGCCCAGCATAATGAGAGCAAGTCTTGCTCAGTGAGTGAAATGCCACCATCTGAGCACATCTCCTTAAAAGATATAAGAAGGATGGATGTGGGTGGAGGGGAGGCCCTCCAGAGTTCCTGGAGGCATGAAGATGTAACATGCCTGGATGTGTGAGCAATGATCAGGCCAACATCTCTCCATATTTGGAAGAAATATCAAATGTGAAATGTTATGACCTAGAAAGCAATGGAAGTGATTTTTTTTTTTTTTGCCTTTAGACACAATTTGTGTATATTTAAAAATTTATCATCATAAAAAATATCAACTTCTCTGCAGATTTGTTTGCAGCAGCATGCAGTTTGGAACGCTATCTTTGAGGAAACAGCAGAGCTCATCCAGCATTCTGATTCTCCACTGTACAATTTTCTTCTCTCGAAATGAATCTCCTGTTCATCATCCAGAAGATTGAATTTGAGCTGCTGAGAATTGGTAAAAAAACCCAAATATCTTCAATTCTGCGAAATGAAATTTTAGACCAACCAGTGGCTGAAGCCAACAGTGCCTTCACTCCATTCTTTGCAGCGTTGTTTCTGCAAGAGAGGAAGGAAGGTTGGAGTGCAGCTGACATTCCTGGCAGGCAGGAACAGATTTACCCTTTAACCTTCTATATTCTTTGTCACTGCTGGCCTCTGAACAGAGTCCAGGGTTATATGTGGATTTGGAATAAGGAAAAAGAGATTTAGTGTATGTGAGGCTGAAGCAGTTGATTCAAACTATGCTTTAAAAAATAGAAAAACAGAAAGTAGGAAGTACAGCTGGTGGTTTGGAAAGGAGCCACCCAAGCGCCCAGAGGTGTGAGTTCTGAATCCATTTCTCAATCTTAGCTGCAGCACATTGGCTAAAGGGAGTGGGGGTGGTGGTGGTGCAAACTGCTGAGTCATTATCAAATCAGTTAGCTTTTCTAATCCTCTGAGAGAAAAATCACAGATGGGTTTATTAGAGCTTTACAATGTCATGTTCCTCACTGCTAAAGGCATCTGAATTGAGGAAGCTGTATTCAGTAGCTGCCTTCTCCAGGCTTTCAGTTCAAGGACAGATTCTGAACTCTGATTTTATCAGCTGTGAAAGTCCAAGCTTTTGATTCCAGCTGGTTCGGTGACTATAAATATCCATCTTCTACAAAAATAAAATTAAAAAATCTAACGTTAAACAAGTATGTTTGTATATTTCCTTTGGTTCAGATTTCTGAATAATTAAAAATATGACTTCATCTCTTTCCAAGGGAATTACAAGTGTACTTTCTAAATGAAAGAATAAATTACTCAACTCCACGTGACTTTAGTACCATCAGTTCTTTGGCAGCTTAAGAGTATGCAGCTTTTTAATTCTCACCTGGTCCCCAGGATATGATTTACTTGTCAGAGTAGTTTTATGCGGTGCTTTCTCCTGACTCTGATTCTAAGTAACACCTGATGGGATGAGCAGATGGTGCACCTCACTTCCTTTTACTGGGCATGAAGGAAAGAGAGGAAAGTCAGGCTAGAGATGGAAACGACTGCTACCTTTTTTTCCCCTTAATCCCGTAAAAAAGAGTCCAGGATTTCTAGTTAACCTTGATGGCAACACGGACTATCTATAGATGGGTAGAGTAATGTGCAGGTTATTGCAGTAGGCTGAATATTGGCCTTGAAAGATATCTATGTCTTAAGCCCTGGAACCTGTGAGTATCACCTTATATAGTAAAAGAGACTTTTGAAGATGTGATTAAGTTAAGGATGCTGAGATGAGGAAATAATCCTGATTACCTGGATGCACCCTTATTGTGTCCTTTAAAGAGAGAGGTAGAAATTCGACTACAAAAGAGGAAAAGGTTGTGTGATGACAGAAGCAGAGATTCAGATGGTGTACTTTGAAGATGGAGAGAGGGGTCCTGAGCCCAGGGATGCAGGCAGCCTTGAAAAGCTGGAAAAGGCAGGGAAACAGATCTCCCCTGGAGTTTCTAAAAGGAATGAACGAGCATGCTAACATCTGACTAGTGCAGACTTTGGACCTCCAGGACTGTCAAAGAATAATTTTGTTTTGTTTTGTTTTAAGTCAACAAATCCATGGCAATTTATTATAGCAGCAACAGGATATTAATTATGTAGATGAATGGGTTGCATCTCGGACTATCATTAGAATCTCTCTGGAAGCTTGTTAAACATAGATCCAGAGCCATCAAATCAAGGTTTGGAGATGGGTTCCAGAGTCTGCATGTTAAATAAGCTCTTTACCTTAAAAATGAGGAAACCGAGGCTTGGAGAAGTGAGGCCATTTACTAAAAACATAGTGTATGTGTATATTCCATTTTAAATTTTATTTTATTTTTTGAGTTTTCTTCCCCTAGCAGTGCTTTTGTGTAAATGTGATTTCATTCGAGGATTTGTGTTGACATATCTATTAAAATTAAGAAATAAAAGATGAAAAACTTTTTTTTTTAATTATGTAATGTTTATTGATTAGAATGAGTATGATACAATCTGGCTTTCTGTGTTTGAATTCCTGCCCTCTGGAGCTAACCTTTCCTTGTGGAGATTAGACAGCAGGCTGGGAAGAATGCCTTTGAAATTTAGAACAAAGACCTGCATGCAATTTACATTGGTGTGCTGGTGCTGTGCATAGTAAGTTGCTTAAACATTACAGCGGGATAAGACTGGAGATATAATTTATTTATAAATGGTAAGGATGTTTCTGACCCCTGCTGAACCACCTCCTATGATTTTCACGAGAAAACAAAGTTTCTATGTACTCTCTGTCTTCTCAGACTTCAGCTACTACTATTGGCACAATGACTCCCACCCCCTTCTATTCTCCTAGGCCTGCCCACTCCCTTGATATCCAGATCCAAACATCCAACCACCCTCTCAGTAACTCCATTTGGCTGTCCTTCTAGCAACCTAAATGTGGCTGGAACACTCTTGGACTGTGGCACACGCTGTGCCCCTGCATGCACCATTGCTCTGGACCCTGTCCTTCTTCACTTAACCAATTTTTACTCCTCTCTTTCGATTCAGCTTAGCAACAGCTTCCTTCAGGAAGTCTGCTTTTGACTTACCAGCCCAGATTCAGTTCCTCTCCTATGTTAATCCATGACATCATGCATTCTCATATAATATTTGCAGAATGAAAGCATTAGAGTATACTCTCAAGCATTAAAGATAAAGAAACCAACTCTATTACTCTGGGGCATTGAGTATTTTCAGGATTCTTATCAAATAGGGAAATGTTTGGTTCTTCAAATTCATCAATAAGGCATTCCCTGCATTTTGGATAGAAGCCTCGGGGAGGCTCCGGCCCACTTGGCCGGAGCCAAGATTCTGGTCGGTTCTCTTGAGGTCCATATGGATGTGTTGGGCACTAATGTAAGCCTGGGCTGGGCACTAGGCACAGTGTTAGACACTGGGTTTGTATCTTTCCCCCTGACCTTTCAACACCACTCTAGTAGGAGCCACTAAAATTCCTTTTTGAGCCTGGGTTTTGGATTCAGACAAACCCAGGTTTTAATCCAGTCCCGATTAGCGATCAGTAGTGGCCTTGAGCAAGTTACTTAGTGTCTCTGAGCTTTATTTCCCTAACTGGTTAAAAAGAAACAAGAATGTCTATGTCCCAGATTTATTTTGAGGATTGCACCCAATAGCACACAACCCATACATATTTTTCAATTGACATTAAATAAAAAGAAGGAATTATTTCCTAGAGGAGGTGTTAGGGCTTCTACTAGCTAAGAGCTGATTCTAAGCCATGAGATAAGTGAGTAGATTAATTGGTCTGCTGGAAGCAGTGCAGGAATTTGCAGCAACAGGAATATATCAAGAAAGTAAGGGACATAGTAAGAAGTGTGTGTGTGTTCATGGTGAAGGGGAGCCCTTTGGATGTCTCCAAATTCCCAAGACAATATTTGAAATGAACAAAGGCAAGAGCCAACCAATAAAAGCTTCATCTCTTTCCTCTCCCTTGTGCCTCAGCCCCAGCCATGCCCACAGACACCACCATGAAGCTTCTAAACACAGGGCTTTGGAACAGAGTCTCTCCAAGATTTTTCCAACTCTGATAGCCAGGAGTTCTCAGAAGCTTCCAGAAATTCTGGGTGAAAAAGCCACAGTGAACTTGCCAGATGGGGTTTCTTACCTTCAACGCGGCCATTTTCCTTCTGCTACAGGCGTGATGACTTCAGAAAACCCAGGCTCAGAGAGAATATGAAGTCAAAATACTTCTGTTTCTCATTCCAACCACTCTCTGGGTGGTTTTTGTTCTCACGTTTTCACTGTGCCTCCTGGTCAACAGGTCACTCAAATTCGCATTGCTTAACTGGCACACAGGGAGAAAGTCCAGAAAGCTTATTTCTTAACTGTGCACACATTTGCTCTTGGCTTTCATACAGAATGTTCCTACATATGTTTGCAGAGCCCTGGCTCCTCTTCACCCGAAGTAGAGACTGGCTAGTTAAAAGGAAGCCTCTCATAATTGAGAAGTGGAGAATTTGAAGCAATCTGGGAAAGGAGCTTTGGCAGTTAGTGCTAGGAAGGAACAGAGAAAAAGAAAAGTACTCACTGTCCTAGAGAGCAGTGACAAAACAACCCAGCTGTTTATCAAGCTCTGGGTAAGATGTTTACACACAGCTGCCCGAAGACAAAGGCTGGGACTGACAGCTCCCTGCAGGTTCCTCCCAGGAATGAGCTGAGGATAAACTGAGGTGGTTACTATCGCTCCTCTTAATTTCTTAAAATACATTTAGTGTTCCTATAAATTATCTAAGAGTTGTTTTTTTTTCCCTAATGCCTTTATCTCTCTAAAAACACACTAAGGCATTACTTTCCAGCCGCCTGCTCTAAGACTTCCTTGTCCTCCATCCCAGCTACTCTCC